TAAGTCATAGTAAAGCAACGAACAAATAAAAAATTTTAGTTTACTATAATCGTTAACGTCCCAAAACCTATTCCAGATGGATACATCAGGAAAATTTATATACACAATTTCCATCATCTTATCATTTAGACTGGCAGTTGTAGAGAGTATGAAAGTTGATGTGAGAGTAAGAGAAGACTCCGAACCTGGAGCTGCAGTTGTTGAGCTTTTGAAACTCCCCGGCCTACCACACCACAGCCATCTAGACTCTTCTCACAAAAACTCAATTCAATTCAAAATTTTAGGCAGCAGTAATAATAAAAACCATCACCAACAACAACAACAACAACAACACTCAATTCCAAACAACAAAATCATTCAACAATCAACAGTAATCATTCCAAGCAGTGAATATTTCGCAATCGACAGTACATCTTCGACTATCACGTTGAAACAACAAATCGATCGGGAACTAGTCTGCGGACCACGCGTCACAACGTGCATTTTGATTTTCAGAGTCGCCATCATCAGCCCGCCACTGACCATAATTTCCGTTCACGTGACCGTTGATGACGTCAACGATAATGCTCCCTACTTCCCTCAACCATTCGTCACCGTGCAGATCCCCGAAGATGTTGTTCCGGATTCGCACACGCCCTACGAACTTCCTGTTGCTGCAGATGACGATTCGCCGGAATTCGGTGTCGTGAGTTATTCGGTCAAGTGGCTGTCGGTAGCGATTAATGCAACTAATGACGCATCTAGGGATGTTCCATTTCAGTTAAGTACTCATCAATCATCTTCAGCGAACAACAAACACTTGATGAAACCCGTGTTAATTGTTAGCAAGGAGCTGGATCGAGAGTCGTGCGATGAGTACGTCTTCACGTTGGAAGCCCACGACGGGGGTGTGCCGTCAAAAACATCAAGCCTCAGTGTGACGATCAAAGTTACCGACATCAACGACAACGCTCCAGTTTTCAATCAGACAGTTTATCGAATCACATTATCCGAGGGTGAAGAAGTAGGCAGTGCTGTGTTGGCAGTGTCAGCTTTCGATATCGATTCAGGTCCGAACGGACATTTGAAGTATTCCATCGAATCGGATATCACGAACAATCCGACAACTAATAACAACTTTCATCAAACCAGTCAAAATTTTTACATCGAACCCGAAACCGGTATTATTCGACTAATTAACCGACTCAATTTCAATTTGGCATCACAGCACCGGTTGAAAATACTGGCCGAGGACGGCGGGCTGACGGTGAAACATACAGGCACCTGTGACGTCATCATTGACGTCATCGACACCAACGATAACAGACCAATCATAAGCGTAGAATATGCAGGAGATGAACCGGAAGTGCAAGAGAACGCAGCGGCAGGAGCATTCGTGGCTTACATAACAGTTGAGGATGACGACAGCGGAACGGCTGGTGTCACGGAGTGCAAGCTGGTGTTGGGAGCTGATGCGTTTGCCATTGAAAGTTTTACATCATCATCACCATCATCGTCAGCATCATCACACCCATCATCATCTTCATCAATGAACAATCCCTACATTAACAACCAGCACGGCAAGACCACTCAGTACAAGCTGATGACGACCGCAACCTTCGATCGTGAATGCATCAACTCTACGAATATTTCAATCGAGTGTACTGACTTCGGCCAGCCAGCCCTATCGAATGTTGTCAATTTAACCATTCGAATATCTGACGAAAACGATAACAGCCCTAAATTTAGTAGGCCCGCGTTCGAATTTTCAGTCTTGGAGAATAATAAAGCCGGTCAGTTCATTGGGAGAGTTGTTGCGTTCGACGAAGACGCCGACATGAATGGCGAGTTGACATACACCTTTGGCCCAGACGCCACTTTCGACGTTTCTTCATATTTTGAATTGGACGCCCGCAACGGAATCATTACAGCGAAAATTGCTTTCGATCGAGAATATCAATCCAAGTACGAAATGACGATGCAAGTGAAGGACGGTGGCGAACCAGCTCGTTCAGCCAGTTGCTTGCTGCTCGTTAACATTTCAGACGAGAACGATGAAACTCCGACGTTTTCAAGCTCGCTCTACACATTTGCAACGTACGAGAACCAGCCAGCCAGCACCGAAGTCGGTCGGTTGACTGCTCATGATACGGACCTCTTTCCAAACAACATTGTTCACTACTCGAAAGATGAGCACAACGATATTTTCTCACTCGACAAAGAAACCGGGACCATCAAATCTTTGGTGTCGTTAGATAGGGAGGTGACGGATTCGTATAATTTTACGGTGAAGGCATACAATCCCAGCGTATCAAACACTTCAACATTGAAGGAGGTTTGGAGTACTACTTTAGTGTCTGTTGTAGTAGCGGATCGTAATGATAATGCTCCAGTTATTATTTTTCCGGTACCGAGTCTCAACGATACGGTTCACATAACAACAAATCAGAAGATCGGCAGTGAAATAGCTAGAGTGCTAGCAAGAGATGGCGATGTCGGAACGAACGCTCAACTTCGATATATATTCGCCCTGACGAATGAAATGTATTTTGAGAAAGATGATGGTCATAGTGATGTACCGATCAGCCGCGGTCGATTCAATCGCTCCTTCGATATCGATTCTAGGACCGGCGGTATATTTGTAAACAAAGATCTGACCAAACTGAACATCACAGAAACCAACCCAAGAATTGAATTATTGAATATCATCGTCTATGACGGGGGTGTTCCAAAACTTTCTTCAGTCTGCAAGTTGAAGATCGTCATAAATCATTTTAACGACACTACGATAAGACCAAAAATAACATACAACAAAAATGAAATTTATTTTGAAAGGAAAGAAAAAAACAATAAAAATTTGGTCCTACAGTCTGCGGTCACAGAACAACAACAACAACCACATAAACTGAACGAAGCGGAAAGTCAACCATCCACAAACAGCACTTCAATTCAGTTGATAATAACTTCCTTCATAAGCAACCCGCTAGCCATTCTCATCTTGGTGTCGGCAATGACCGCCACACTCCTCTTCTTCCTCTTTGTCATCGTCGTCATCGTCATCTGTTACAATGGAAGTGAGAGGAAGCAGAAGATGAGGGTGAGAAAACTGGAGAAGTTGTTTCATCCTCTGCCCAGACATCCGGATCACACCTACGTCCCACAATTCGCAGTTAAAAGAAATCCCAAACTGCTTACACTTCAAAATGGGATGCATCCAAGTGATTTCGTTACCGCCAAAAAAATTTGCACCCTGCCGACGAAACGATCATTAGCCATGTCCGAAATCCGTGCCGGTGGGGATTTCAAGATGGACAAATATTTCCTCACCTGCCAAAAGTTTAATCGCGCAAAAGAATTTGATGGAAAGTTTAACAAAAATGTCAACCACACTAACCACAGCAGCAATAACTACAACATCGACGACGACTCAAGCGTTGACCTCAGAAGCCACCACACGTCTGCTAATGATGGTGGTGGCACCATGGCGGAAATGTTGAATGGAAGAAACATCAGGTGGACTCTATCGGCTCCAATTGGAGAAAATTTAGTTAGATTTGTTTTATGAAACTTTCGAATAATTTTAATTTAAGTCAAAATAAATTGTTGGAAATTTGGTGTCAAATTAAATTAAATTAATTTCCGAATAGATTGCGAGGCAGAGTGACGTTGCTGGCAGCCGAGGGGACAACAAAATGAAGCACGGTCAGAACAGCAAATCAAAGTGCAGAGTCAGTTTTGAACCAAACAACGACCAAGTTGATGATACTTCAGGAGATAGAAACGCTGCATCAAACACGCCAAATTTTCAATCCAACAACGACACCAGAGCTGCGATTCAAACGAACATCAACAACAACATTTTTCACAACAACATAACCGCGATTGCACCTAACTTCCTCCACGTAGACCCAATCAACCATGCAAATAACCAACAATCCCAACAAAACCATTCACAACATTTCAACAACCAACAACAACAAATTTCTCATCAGTCTGCAACTTTTCAACCAGAGCAACAACAACTGCTGCAAAGTTTTTCCCCGAGCCATTTTACAAACGCTCTTTACTTCACTGCCCTAAACCCACTTCCTGTTTCCAGCACCAACAACCCAAATTTCAACAACAACAGCAACAACAGCAACAAGAACAGCTCAACTCAACAGACATCAACATTCAACAACAACAACAATGCCGACAACATACAAACTGTTGAAGCAAACTACAACAACGCATTCAATGACAATATCCCTTCAGCGGTGAAACACTACAACAGTATCAAATCACATCACATCAATGTAAATGCCAAAACCAACAACAACAACCTTGGATGTAGTGATAGCAGCAACAACAATCATTACAGTAACATCATTTCATTTGAAAACAACAACAACAACAACAACAACAACAACAGCTCAAACAACAACACTATAGATATGCCGGAAAACAATCGCAACCATGCATCACAGGTTAGCTAATTTGTCATGAAACCAGCAATAACCACTACTACCAATCTTACTACTACTGCTACTGCTGCTACTACTACTACTGCCACTACTACTATTACTACTACCTTTTCTGTTGTTTCTAAGGTTACTTCTTCTACTACTGCTACAACTGAAAATACTATTACAACAGTATAACAAGATTCTATTGGCCTTTTAACTATGTGTCTCTGCTTATTTGTGTGTGTGTTGTGTGTGTAAGAGAAAGAGACAGAGAGAGAAAGAGAGAGAGAGAGAAAGAAAGAAAAAGAGAGAGAAAGAAAGATAGAGAAAGAGAGAGAGAGATGGAGAGAGTGAGAAAGTGTGTGTGTGTGTGTGTGTATGTGTGCGTGCGTGCGTGTGACATAATTATGTTAGGTTGGATGTTGAATTTATGTGGTGCTTAACAAAGCAATCATCGCATCATAATCAACGTTAACTGCCTAATTGTTCGTTGTGATTCATTGGTGTTTTTTGTTCTATGAGTTTAGTAGAATAATAATAATAATAATAATAATAATAATAATAATAATAATAATAATAATAATTGTTATTATTATTATCATTTTGGTTATTAATGGTGATGATGATGTTGATGATGGTGATAATACCAATGGAGTGACAGTATTATTATTAATAAAAATAACAATTGCAATAATAAGGATAATAATAATAATATTAAAAATAATAATAATAATAATGATTAACCATAATCTCAGGCGAGTTACTCATCGTCATCAACCAATGAAACTGCCCACACCCATTCAACTCTACTCGGAAGCAACCAAACCGATTATGGTAATGATGAAGAAGAAGATGACGATGATGATTGTAGTGATGATAATGAGGATGATGATGATGATCATTATCATGGTCGTCGTCATCATCGTCGTCGTCGTCGTTATCAACATAACAATATTGCTGATGATGATGATGATGGTTTTGGGGTTGGAAAATTTTGAAAAATTTTTGTCGGATGTTTATTTTCAGTCATTTATTTTCAGTTTTTATTGTGCGAGGTATATTGAAATGATTTTTGTGTTCTATTTATTTTTTAATTAAATTAATTTTAATTTTTAAGTTAGCATTTAATATTTCATTTTAATAACTCATTAAAGAAGAAAAATTTTTCTTCCTGAATACAAAATCCTATCACAATGATAGTACTGCGGACGAAACTAAATTTTGGCAAAATTGGATTGAAGGTCATACAATCATTGCGCGTTCTAAGGGATATATTTTTATAAATTGAAAATTTTCTATACAAGGTTTGCAGTTTTTGTGTCTTTACTTTTTATATCAAAATACTTTTTATTAATAAAAATTAAAAAAACATTCTGTACTGCGTGATATTTCAATGTGATAATGTGACAATGTGTTCAATGAGGCCTAGAAAATTATAGTTTAAAAAAAAGTTGCTTGAAAAAATAGTTGAATATAGCGGGAATTTTATAATTGTAACAAATTCTTTATGGATTTATGATTAATTACGTTTTGTATTGCTACAACTTTTTGATAGATTAGTTAAACAACAAAAACAACAACAACAACAAAACATTGAAAAATCTTTTCTGAATATAGGAGCTGTCTTGTAAGCAGCGAAACACGACTACTAAACCAAACCATTTACCAAAAATAAGGAAACCAAAAACAAAAAGTCTGAAAAATTATATCTCACAACCCACGAGAAAATTTCAAAATTATTGTGCCTCTCAAAAGCAATAACTAACTCACTTTTTTGAAGCATCATCTTTTATTCATCCTCGTCCAAAACATTATCATTAAGCGACATAAATCACACACGCATACACACACACACACACACACACGCACACTCATTCACGCACACACATACACACACGCAAAATAGTATTAGCAGCACCGCATGCACACTTCAACAGCATCCAAACAACAGGATATTGACAACATCAGACAGATCTTCAATGTCAACAACACACGGGCAATAACAACGACATCAAAAACAACAACAAACACATCAACAAAGACGTCAACTTTATGACTAAATTGAAAAATTTAATTAAATGTTTTTCCTTTCCTTTCAAAACGTCAAAACAAGCCTTTATTATTACATTTCATCTAAACAATATTTCTACACTCACGCACACGCGCACGCATATAATTATACAAACGCACACAAACAAACAAACATAAGCCTACATAAAACAAAAATTAAAAAAAAGTATAAAATTAAAAACTTTAGAACGTGTAAAAAAAATTTTTTTCAAAAAAATTTCCTTTTAAGAACATGCTTTCAAAACGCGTAAAAATGAAAGAGAAACAAAAAATTTGTTGAGTGTGTGCGTAGTAAGACGTCACCTTGCGTTCTGTCTCGTCGTGTGGTCTCGCGTCGTGTGGCATCGCGTCGTGTGGCATCGCGTCGTGTGGTCTCGCGTCGTGTGGCATCGCGACGTGTGGTCTCGCGTCGTGTGTGCCTAGGCGTTTGGTCGACGTAAATTCTTAATGAAGATGTTCCTGGAAATCAAATATAAAATTTAATTACATTTTATTTTTTTTGCGGATAGTTTGCTTTGAACTTTTCTAAATTTTACTCAGATAAGATACTGAAAACTATTTGATTTCTTTGGGGCAATATTTTTATACTGGCAAACTAGCATAGCGCACTGCAGATAGATTTATTTATTTATTACAAACGCCAGATATAAATAAGTAATTTATCAATGGATTTAGCTGTTGAAAAATTTTTTCCTTTGTTATTCGGTGTCAAATTTTACATGAAGCCACTGAAAATTTGTCTTTATAATGTATCCAGTGGTTAAAGTTTTGCTTGCAAAACAGTTTAAAAAATTTTTAAACACACATTTTTAAAAAACTTTAAAAGACAACGATTGAGTATTTTGTTTTGGTATTCTGAGTGACTATTTTTCTACTTTATATGACGTCATTTTTTCTTCTTTTATTAGTTCTCTCCTTCTCTCTTTCTCTTTCTCTCTCTCTCTTCTTACATTGCAAGTAAAAAAAGTGTTCAATAATGCACGAAGCTTAATTATTTATCGCAGCT